ACCAAAGGATTTAAAGAAAAAACCTTTAAAAAATATCAGTTTCCTTCCAAAAAAAGCTTTATTCCTAAGTTGCCTGCCGCAGGGTCTTGCTTAAAACATCCGAGATTATTTCCGGCACTATAATCACATCGATGTCACCCTGACACGGATAAGTCAAGGCAACCTGTTTAACATACAGAAAATGTCTACACAAAACACAATGTCATAATAGCTGTGGTTCTATAGTTTACTGCCTACCCAGAATTGTCATAACTGGAAAATGTCAGTTAGTCCACACATGTACACTGTTTACCGTATTTTCTTGAGTATAGTGCGCACCCATGTATAATGCGCACCCCCCTCTAGCAGATTCAATATTTTGGAGAGAAAAAGAAAATTCGAATACCATGAATACCAAGCGCAGAAATTTTTTTACACCGTACCCCTTTAGCGAAGTCCGGCAAACGAACGGGTGATGAGAAACTTGGTCAGTACAAATTCGAAATTTGAGATAAAAAATCACCAGACATGCTGATTTACTGTTTAAATTGTATTTTTTGTTCTGCTAGGCATTGTACAGAACTAGCCTGAGGCATTTCTGATGCCCTTGTTTGAATATTGCCACTACTGTGTACCCTTGTGAAAACCACATAATCCTTCAGCTTCTGTAAATCATGCATGAAGCTTTTTAAGAGTGAAAACAAACACATCTAGTGATGGAAAATGTGTGCTGGTCATATAGGTGTCAGATTACTGACTGTTTAGTTCATTTATGAGACCTCATTGAACATGGGACGTCATGGACAAATATTTTAAGATTTTATTATGTGAAATTGAGTTTTTTATATACCAGGGGTTTAATCTAGGATTTTAAACTGAGTGCCCATGGCAGGCAAATTGGTAAAAAAAATCACTATTTTGTATATGTATATTATTATGTATTAACATTGGATTTTTTTAAATTTCAATTTGGGAAGTTTTAAGTACATTTGCTGCAGACTTGGGGCAACAGTTGATGATGGCGTCTGAGCAGGTCTTGATGAATCCCTGATATACTAGAAAGGAGTTCAGTGAATCTCTCCACTCAAACTGAACAAATCTAGACTTTACAAAGTATTGTCAAATTGCTTGGGAGTTTTAGAAATTATTGCCACTGCTGACCAGTCATTGTTTTATCCCCCTAATTCACAGTGCCAGTTACTGAAAAAACAAGCACCATCATTAAACGGCTTTTGGTTCAACGCAGCAACAATATTTCCTGATTTCCACATAAATAATCAGGGCAAGGGAAATGAGTGAGTGAGTATGGTTTTATGCCGCTTTTAGCAATATTCCAGCAATATTGCGGATAGGGACACCGGAAAATGGGCTTCACACATTGTACCCATGTGGGGAATCAAACACAAGTCTCCGGCGTGATGAGCCAACGCCTTAATCACTAGGCTATCCGACCTCCCCTTGGTGTGACAAAGGCAGGGATTGAACCACCAAAGAGGCTGTCATAGTAATTCGTAAAAGTAGTTAAATATGTTCTGAAACAACCTAAAGTTCATGTCATCTATGAAAGACTAAAATTATGTTCATTCTAAAAAAATAAATTTCCAAATTAAAATTAAAAAATAATGGGTAATAATTTGTTATGAAAACACAGTACCAAACAATACACCTTGCATTTCATATGACAACATACACACAAGATCAGACATATCAGCATTATTGTCTTGAAAAGTTTGTTTGTTTGTTTGTTGTTTAAAGCCGCACTCAGCAATATTCCAGCAAAATATGACAATGGTCTGTATATAATCATGTCTGGACCAGACAATCCAGTGATTAACATCATGAGCATCGATCGATGCAATTGGGATCGATGACATGCATCAACCAATTCAGTGAGCCTGACCACCCGATCCCGTTAGTCGCCTTTAACGACAGGCATAGTCTCCTTTTATGGCAAGCATGGGTTGCTGAAGACCTATTCTACCCTGGATCTTCACTGGTTGACAACCTCAGCTTGATAACTGACATTCCTGGGAGCAGCATGGCTCTTTTATGACTGTACTGTGTCGTCAAGACAAGGCTATTTAACGTGAGGCACTAATTGGACGTAACTTACGTGAGGGCTTCATTCAGAGCTATAGATAAGCTTTTCGTTATTGGATATTTTACCTAAGGGGGTTGATTTTGATTGTATCAATTTTTAAAGGGCATTCAATTTTTATTTACCCACCTGTTTCTTGACATTGGGGTATTTTAACTTGGAAACAATCCCTGTAAATCATTTAAAACTATGTGACTGGTATACCCTCTCCTGGAAGCCATTTTTGTTTGCGAAACCTAGTATTGTAAGGAATGCGCTTTTTTATAAAACACAAATCAGTGACTGTTAAAGAAACAACATGAACATTGACTAGGCCCAATGTTCTCTTCAGCATGTTCAGTCTGTATATTTGTTGCACAAGCTTTTCTGATTGTAACTGTCGGTAAGTGAATTGCAACATATATAACAGTTGTAATATACGCAATCGTTTCATCTAATGGTTGTAATATATGCATTAATTTTATTTTAATAGCATATTTATAGTTTTTGTTGCACATTTGATATGCTGGAATTTGATTTGTTTGCATATATCTGTTTATATATGCATATTTTATGCATAATACAGCTGATCTTGAGCTCTGTCTGTTTAATGTAAATAGCAAAAACTTTTCAATATTGAACCACTATGTCAATTCACATAAAAAAATAAAACATGATAAATTTGAGAAAAAATGTTTTGTATGAAGAGTGTTTATTTATTATAAAACATAGTCAGCAGAAGCGATATGTAGCGATATATATGTAGTGTTTTACAGCAATACATTATTAATTTATGTGACACTGGCAGCAGACCGGCCAATGTTTCAACTTTGATAAATTTATTATGGGACAAGGGTTCAACTTGGTTTTGGTTGGAACAACTGGGTTTTCATGTCAACATGAACCTGGTGCAAGTTAAATCAATGAACTTAAATCGAGCCCTGGGTATGACTGGTTTAATAGTAGATTATTACAATCATTTATCCACATAAATCAGAGAGCAGTTTCATTCACGATGATAGCATCAACACATTCTAGCATGAACTTGCCGCATGGCACCTTTTTCAGTAGACTCAGCGTTAATATTTGGACTATTGTGAGCTGAGATTAAATGGATAGAAAGGGATTTAATGGACCCGAGGCTTGTGGCTAAAATCATTACTGTTCTAAAATCATTTTCAAAATCAATACTGGTCCTAAAAGGGCCTACTGGAAGTTAACACAGATATTAGTAGGTCCGGTGATACTGGAAAATGCTGATGCAACCACCAATCCGACCCCCCCCCCCCCCAACACACACACACAAACACACCCCACTTCAATTAAATGTTTGTCCCTTATCATTAATTAGTTCAAGTATGTCATTGTCAAGTTCACAATTACTGGAGCAGGTTTACAGAGCTACCACTTCCTAGTTAATAGACATTCTGTAATATACCCCTGCCATTCACCTCACAGGGATGTAATCACCGGCACAATGTACATGAAACAAGCATCTATACAAGCCACACAGCATGTGTAATGCGTGTGTGTGACTGCATAATTCATACCAATACACATCAGAAGCTACAACAACAAACAGCAAGGAAAAAGGACTGCATTAAATCCTTCCCGCCACAGTTTGAAAGCTATGGGTTGTTAATTGCATGTCAATAGACTATGCCTGAGTGACACCCTGCTATTGACATTGTTCCATTGTGCTGTTACTGTTGTAGTCTGGATTTATTACATATTGCTGCAATGTACATGGTCTATATTTAAATGTGGAGGTCTCTCACACGCTTTTTCATGAGGAGCAGTGCGAGTTGATGTACTTTGTGTAACATAAAATATGAATAAAGATATTTCATAACTATTTCAAATACAAATCGAAAGCAGTGGACAGAAACCAACAGGGCAATATAAAAGTTATACCCACACAGATGTGCATTGTTGTCCAATGAAATACTTGGCATAATTGATATAACATAGGTGTGTGTGTGTGACTAAATTAGAAGTTAAAATTAGAGAGATGTGAGGTGTGAGAATATGAATAAAAATATTTAATATATATTTCAAATACAAATCTGAAGCAGTGAACAGAAACCAACAGCGCAATATAAATGTTATACCTACACAGATGTGCATTAATTGTTGAAGTTAAAATGAGAGAGATGAGGTGTGTTGGAGAGTTGGGGTGTGTGAGGTGGGGGGAAAGAATGGTGTGGGGTGTGTGGGAAATGGGGGGGTTGGAGGGAGGTGTGGGAGTGGCGTGAAGTGTGTGTGTGTGTGGGGGGGGAAAGGAGTAATGGGTGTTTTTTTGGGGGGGAGGTGGGCAGAGAGTGAGATTTGTGTTTGGGTGGGGGTAACACTGGTGCAGGGGTAGAGACTGGGGTAAGGGGTAGAGAGTGTGGGGTGGAGTGAGGTGTGTGTGTGTGTGTGTGTGTGTGTGTGGGGGGGGGGGGGTAGAGAGTGAGATGTGTGTTTGGGTGGGGGTAGAGACTGGGGCAGGGGCAGAGAGTGAGGTGTGTGTGTGTGGTGTGGGTCGTGGGGTAGAGAGTGAGATGTGTGTTTGGGTGGGGGTAGAGACTGGGGCGGGGGTAGAGAGTGAGGTGGGGTGGAGTGAGGTGTGGGCTTGGAGAGAGGTGTGCGAGGTGTGTGGAGTGGAGAGAGGCTCTTGGCAGTTGAGGGGGTCCATTAATACATCATAGGCGGGTGTTATTACAGTTCCTCTTGGTTACAGTATGTGAAACCAATATTTCCTTTACTTGATATACTTATATAAAACAAAGGACACACATCCCAAATTAATCACACAACATATCACAATGATTGTGAGAAAATTAACTCCATTTAATTTAGCATTAAAAATATTCCTTTATCAAAGTCTATCAAAACACCCCTTTAATAATATCTCAATTAAAGGTGTTATACCACTTCATATCTTCATTTGGTTATTTTTCAGTCAGCATGGCCAAACAGATAGCTTGGGACATGGATCGACCGCTCGAAGTGAGCTCAGTCTGGCTTATCAAGATCAATGAACACTAATCCGTCGCCTGCGCTTCCAATCTCAATTTCAAAAGGACACCGCTTGATATACTTTTGTTTTTCCTTATAATCTGAATAGGCAGAAAATGACAACATCAGGAGCTACCCACAGGTAGAAAATATCGATCTCATAGCATCAGAAATGTTACTGGATTATGAATTATAAATGGAAACCTTTACAATAACGTGATACCTTTTCTTCGTTCGACTTCAATTAATACAGGTATTCCCAATGATATTGTGTATGTTCAGAGAAGAAAAAATGACAATGTCATTTGGGGGACATGAATACCGACAGTGAAATCAAGTTCCGTGACAAGCGTATTACATGGAGAAGAAAGCAGAAGAACATGTATTACATGTTAAGTTTGGCAGCTCAAAATGAACATCATAACACGAGTGTCGACTTAACTCACCCGTAATTTCTTCCAGAGCAGGACTCGTCTCAAACTGTGCATTTCCTTGGATGATCAAAATTGATAGTAAGAATCCAAGAATAAAACGAAATATTTCCATTTTCGCAACTCAAAGGTTGTCATCACACGTGTAATAATATCCGACTCAATATCTCATCTTCCGAGTTGCTTTGTGACTATCAACATCCCTGCCGTCAAAATGACATGCGGCATGCGGTGCTCAAAGCTTCAGTCATCTATAAAGACACTCCCTCATACCGTATCCAGGCATTGTCCGGAGTGAAAAATGCGAAATCCGTTAAAGAGAAGTTAATGTGGCTCCCAGTTGTAACACAGGTATTAAACACGACCCACGAAGGGTTTTCAAAAGAGGAACGTTGAATCGCCACATCGCGCCGGCAGTTTTGTTTACATGTGTCAGCCGCGAGCAGCGCTCTGTGATTCTGAAAGGTTTCCCTCGCGACTAGCTTTTATGAAGTCGCGGCGCGCACCTGTCACATATCATTACCATGTTTCGAGTATGGTGGTCATATCACCAGCTCACACCAATAATATTTCATAAACTATCAATCTGTAGAAATATGAATGATTCCTTTTAAATAAATACGGAATTAGTTATTTTCATTGCAAATATTTAGCGGGTGCGTGACACGAAAGAAAATATCATCTAAAAAATGTATAGATTTTTCGGTTTGTTTTGTTGATTTTTTAAACATTGGAATGTATGCTTTCTGGCACATTTTGTGTACAAGTTTAAGCCAAGGGAAGGATTAAGGCGCTTAAACGGGACCTGACCCGCGAAAAGAATAAACCACACGTTCGTGAAAACTGTGGAGTATTTATACAGGACACGATGTCTTCACCATAAGACAAGCAAACATGTCAGAAAACGCAAAAAATAACTGTACCTGCACAAATAGTTCCATTTAAACCTAGTATCAGAAGTGTTTACACGTAGCCCCGACAAAAACATTGAACACTTTTTAATTACACGGAGGTAAAAAGTCCGTGTCGAAAGGACACTGCTAAGTTTACCGCTTGGTTTTTTCTCTCTGTACAAAAGAGTAAAATGTCATTTGAAGGTTAATGGGGTTTTTCTGTAGAGAAAGCCTCACTGGCGTACGATATCAATTTTTTTCAATCTTCTCGATTCATACTAATAAGTATTTAGTGTTTTGAATATTGTTCTATACATATTAAGGCAAGCTCGTGTTGTACATACCCCAGGAAGCCGAGAATGAAATTCGAGTGCACACTGATCAATTGACCTAGGTTATGATAATGTACAGCCATGGACATTCATTATTATTATCATTATCATTATTATTATTATTATTATTACCGTATTCGACGTAATAAGCGCCCCGCTCTTATAAGCGCCCACTAGTGAACAATCCCCAATCCACCCCTTCTGAATGATCAATGTACAAAAGACTTATTTATTCGTGTATAATACGCACTCGTGTGTTATATGCACCCTTAATTTTTGGCAATTAAATTTTGGAAAATTATTTCTGTCGTACATAAACATTTCAGGCTGTCAGCATAAACCACGAAATTTACGATCTTTCAACTCTGTTTTTCCCCCACCAAAATAATATTCTAATAAGAGCCCCCTATTTTTAATTTTGAGAGCGCCCTAGGCGCTTATTACGTCGAATACGGTATTATTATTATTATCATTGAAGATTTTAACATAATCACAATTAATGAAAATAAATCAATAAACCATAGTGAAAAACTATCAACCACAATTCATCACACTTTACTGTTCTGAAAGCATAATCTCGTGGGGACTCAGGGTTAGAAATGGTCACCAACAACTTGTGATGGTCGTAAGAGAATACTTCATGTATCGGGTGGTTTAACACGCTGACTTGGTTGATTGTACCTAGATTGCGTCGTACCCCGATTGTGTGGATCGTGCTCATAATATCAATCATTGGATTGTCTGGTCCAGGGTCGAATATTTACAGGTGCCCGCATATAGCAGGGGTATTTTCTACTACGGCGTTAAACAAAACAAAATCAAGAAAATCGAAACGTATATTTATTTCGCCTCACGATTTGACATTATATAATTATAATATTATATGTATACCAGTATTATGCCTAAACAAATTTATCAAAACAATTTCTCTCCAATACTGTAAATGGTCATCTCGTGGTATACATGTATTATACATCTCATGTGCTCGATACTGCAGGAAATGTCGAATGTGAATTAAACATAGGCTTAACACATCCCTGAAAGGCAGTTTCTAATTACAGTGACAGAATGCGCCCGCACGGGCAAACCGTGTAAAGTTTATTAGGTAAGCTGTTGAGAAAGTAGTTTCTCGGCACAGCGAAGGGAAGGAACTCTAAACCGCAACGGCATTTCAACAGGTGTTGAGAGTCATCGAACGCGCATGTTTAATTCACAAGCGTGGTAATTGTACAAAATGCAATCTTTACCGACATTAAAACAGGATTGATGTGAATCCACTAACTCATCGGTTTGCTATGAAAAGTAGGTTAAATTCAGACCGCATGAAAGGAACGCCCTTTGAAATACACGTCGTTTGACGGCAGATGTTGATATCGATTTTTGATCGATTCGTCCTCAAGTCAAATAAGCTGACACGACCCATCCCGCAGAATGTGGATGAGAGATTGTTTGGTGGTTGGATACGTACTGCAGCCAGGTGACTTGATGGAGATGCTTGGAGAGCGGGGGTGTTGCGGACGCTAGCGTGACCACGTGTTGTTTTGTCCATTAATATTAACGCTTGTTGCACATTTGGTATCTGTTTTGTTGCCAGCTAACTTTATCATAACACTGTATGGTATTGTTGCTATTACACCGCTTATTTCTGTGTGACTATCTGTTAGAGATAGGTTATTTCTTCGGCCACTGATTCACGATAAACATTTTCTTTTTTTTTCTCTGAAAGGATGGGCCGATTTTTTTATTACTCTTCTTACAATTTTTTTTCAGGACATCCAGCATGTAAATTCGGTGGGGTATAGAAGGTATTTCAAAGCGTTCGCTCGTCGCGGCGAAGGCCCGAGTTCGACTCCCCACATGGGTACAATGCGTGAAACTCATTTTGGTGTCCCCTCGCCGTGAAATTGCTCAAATATTGCGACCAGCGGCGTAAAAACATACTCACATCTTGGTGACATCCATATAGCTATAGTCAACCCCCCAGACATGAGAGAATATATATAAAAAGGAACTCCAACTCAAGCCTAGAATGATATGGCAAGCCCAGATTACCTCAACTAAACTTCAGCAGTTTTGGCTCCTTTTGGATTTTATTTATTTTCTTGATATATATTTATAAATAAGATTGTTTTCTGGGACTAAAAGTTAGTTTAATAGAGCTAGAGCATGCCAGAAACGACGACGTAAACCATTCATGTATTCACTCATTCATTAAGTCAACATTTTTGTATGTGTCGACTGGTTGCGAATGAACAAGTCCCCTGTATGACGTCTATTAGGTGATACAAACTGATATAGCCACCCCCTGCCAGTTTACCGTTTGACTCGTCATTATCGAAATTGATCTTTGTCGTTGCTAGGGCGGGTGATATTTATACCACGAAGAAGACCCGTCGTTTAATTGTTTTACCACCTACTAATTTCATTTACAGTGACACAGATTTTATTCCCTTGCACTCAAAACTTCAAAGTTGTATAACATTCATCGTACTGTCAGACTGTCGCCTTTCATTCCCGAACACAGCGTATGCGCAATGCTGATTCATTATTTTATTATTTCAGCTATTTCCCCAAAACTCCATATACGGAAGCAAATGTCTGAAATACTATCATTTCTTTTTCAAACTCAAAAAGGATGTCACTCAAAATTACGTGTACACTGTGTGAATCAGACATGATATTTGAAGATGTTTACCCTCTGCTGTTGTGTAACTTGCTCACGACTGAGGCCATCTATATCAATTCGCCAGTTTGCTCATCTACATGTTCATCTTCAGAGGGAGGCAGCGGGTGGAATACAATTTAGAATGTACAAAAACCCTTATCTGAAAATACAACTGAACGATGGGCTGTTGTTTCAGATATGTACAAACGGTACAATAGAGTTGACAGCTCCAAAGGATTATAAAGATGAAGAGCTTAAATGATTAAAAGATACAAAGCAAAAGGCAGAGTTACTTCCCTTCTTCAAATATGATAGTGAGTGAGTGAGTTGGTATAACGCCGCTTTTAACAGTATTCCAGTTATTTCGCGGCGAGTCAGCTTAATGTGGGAGGAAAGCTCGAAGTGATGCAGGTCTCAGACGTTTACCACTTCGGTGAAACCCACGAGCACGGGTATGGTATTGACAAACCTAGAAACATAATCGGGGCGAACCGGGATTCGAACCCACAATCATAGGTTTCTGGCATGCCCAAGGGACGCAACTGTGCACAGTGAATCGCGGCGCGCTAGACGACTGGGCCACACGTGCCCCCTCAAATATGATAGAGATAAAATATAGGGCAGATATATTTTCAGTTAATTTTGTTTCTTGGCATGGGGATATGTATGAATAAAAGTTAGAACTGGGAATGAAACAGTCCACAAATACAGGTGGCCTGCATAACAGGGGTGTGTAGATTAACCAAACAGTTATTCTGTTCATGACGTCAATCAACCAGTGTCATCTGTATGAGAAGGGTACAGACATTGAAACGGTCCGCGGATTCCCAAACAGATTTCTATCTCTCAAAACCGATCCTGTGTATGTCTGACAACCATTGATAGACCTCCCCTTCTATTTAACGGCAAAGAGCGCATACGTGTAAATAACGGTCTATCATTAGATCGGATTGGAGTGTTTGAACAGCAACCGGTCAATATTGATCGAGAGGTACTTCACACGAACTCCATATGTAACCGAACGAGACTGTTACAGATACAGATGACAGATATGGCCGGCCCGGCGTATTGCTCACATAATGTCGGGATGGGGACGGGTGATTATGTTTGTAGGTATGTAAGCGCCATGCATACATGTGGTTGTGTTTTCAAACTTATGGCTTTCATCCCGCATGCTGTTCTGGTTGGTTGGTTGGTTGTTTTACGCCGCACTCAGCAGTATTCCAGCTATATGACGGCGGTCTGTAAA